CCGAATGGAACGGCCGCAACGCCCACTTTGATGACGTCCCTGATGCCGCCACCCTCTGCGCCGTGACCCCCGTGAGCATCTCGACGAGCCTCGGCGCCACAAAGACGACGACGGCCGTGAGGTTTGCGGGGCCGAGGCGGGCGAGGGAGAAGGGCACGCCGGCGTCGCGAAAGTAGCGGCGCACAAAGGCGAGGCTCCAGACGATGCGGCAGGCCATGTTGATGCAGTTGGCAAAGACGAGGGCGCGGGCGCCGAGGCCGAGGACGCGCAAGAAGACGAACCCGGCGGCGGCAAAGGCCAGCGAGAAGACGCCCATCCAGGCCGACTGGGCGTGGACCTGGGCCTCGGTGGCGACCGAGGCGACAAAGGCCTCGGCGACGCCGTTGAGGGCGAGGAGCGGGATGTAGTAGCAGTACGTGGCCAGGGCGGCGCCGGCGCCGTCGCGGACCCAGCGCGGGCCGGCGACGAGGGCGAGAAGCGGCGGCGCGGCAGCGGGGCCGGCCGTGAGGATGAGGGCGCCGACGAGGACGCAGAGGCGCAGCAGCGTGTGCAGGTGTGCGGCAGCGGTGGTGACGGCTTCCTTGGGGGGCTTGCCGCGGGTCTTGTCGGCGGCCGGGGACGCCTGTGCGGCCTTTTCGGCAGATGTCTCAGAAGACGTCGTCGGCGCCGCCGAGAGGAGCCGGCTGAAGTAGCTGCGGCTGCTCTCCTCGACGGGCTGGAACACGAGGCGCGCGAGCAGACCGCCGTAGTTGTTGGCCAGAGCGTAGACACCCTGGGCCTGGGGCGTCGACAGGATGGAGACGAGAAAGGTGTCGCCTTGGGTGAGGACGTGCTTGACGAGGCTCTGTGCCATCATGGACGAGGCCAGACGGAGGGTGGGGCGGTAAAAGCACGACAAGACGTAGTCGGCGCCTGACCCCTCGGTGGTGAGTGTACGCGGCAGCAGCGAGAAGCTGTTGCCCGTCTCGGCGGTCGAGGCGAGACGGACGCCGGCGCCCAGGTACACGAGCAGGAGGGCAACGCCATAGGCGAGCTGGCCGAGCGCGAAGGGAAGGACGCCGAGCTGCAGGCCGGACCGGGAGGCAGAAAGCGCGGCGGCAAAGGTGACGATGCACCGCAGGAAGGTGGCGATGGACTCGGCGCTGGCGCGGGTGCCGAACTCGAGACGCGTCTGCATCAGCACGAAGATGGGCTCAGCGAGCAGCTCGATGATGGCGGCGGCACCATAGATGCGGAGGGACAGGACGAAGTAAGGCGTCTCGAGGGTGGCCTGCTCCACAGAAGACAGGTAGAGGGCGCCCAAGCGAATGAGGACAAAGCTCCTTAGGGTTGACGGCAAGGCTAGCTAGGTTGACGACGGCCTGATGGATGGGGGTGCGGGAGCGGGCTCTAGAGGGGGCTCTGGCGCTGGAATGGCGACGCGCAGGCTCTATCGGGCGATAGAAGAGGACGGAAAAGTAGTAGACCTCGAGCTGGGCAGACAGGCCGAGGAGCGCGGCGGTCAGATAACGCAGGAGGAGCTGGTTGGCGAGAAAGGTGAGGGCGCGCGAGGCGATCTGCAGGGTGATGAGCAGCGAGGCGCCATGAACGGCAGCAGACTCGGTGCCAGCACCAGCCGGTACGTTGGTTGTTGTGCCAGGAGCATCTGTCGGCGATGATGGGGATGCCTCTGGAGACGGCATCATGAAGCCAGTCGCGATAGCATTGGGGAGGCAGCTTGGAACCTTGTTGGGGTTGAGGGCACGTTTGAGGGCATGTGGTGGAGGGCCAATCGTGGCGGGACTGATTTCGAATCGTGGCTCAGATGGTGGCTCAATTTCGTGTCGTGGTCCATGCTACGCCGTGAATCAGATCTTGAGGAAGTTGCGATCCACCCTGGTCCAAGTCGAGGTCCGCATAGGAAGGACCATCCGCATAGGCAGGACCGTCCGAGGAAGGACCATCCATGCCTGGAAGCGGAGCCGGGCGGATGGTAGAGGTACGTATCGATATGGATTAGCGTACCGGCTGGCATCGAGGTGGGGCGACCGTGACAGCGACAGTCCGTGTGCTACCCGCTGCTCGTACACCAGTAGAAAGCGAAGACGAAGGAGGCATTCACTACTCATTCTCAGAAGACAGTCCATACATGGTTGGTCGCACACCAATCCAGCACCCATCAGCACAAACATGTGAACGTGTCGGGACACCCGCAGCAATTCTCGGTGGTTGGGAATCAACATGGCTGCCAGATGCGGCCTCACCACCCGTTAGTGTCGTCATACTAGCCCCAATGGCCACGATTGATTGGGTCCCAGCCTCTGAGGACTGTCCTCGAGTGCCTGCAGTCGCAGCGCCTCTAGAGGGTTTGGGGGGGGGGGGGGCCTGTCTTGGGAA